TGGATTAGCAGATTGAATATTGCGCAATATCAAGCAATCAATTTATTTCTGAGTTTGACTAAGTTTGTCTCTATGGTTTGCTCCATAAATTTATTTTCAAYCCAATTTGTACAACTAACACACCACAAAAAGTTCTCACATCAGTCTTGCACCTTTGAACAGATAATCCTGCCATTAWAAGTCATTAGTTATAAACTTACTTGAGCTGCTTTAACGGGTGATCAGTGCTATTAGAACTGCTGCACACTTTTCCCGCGCTTTTTCATTACACACGTCATGTCAAGTGGCGTATGTAAACTTACTAGAGCTGCTTTACGGGTGATCAGTGCTATAAGTACTGCTGCACACTTTTCCCGCGCTTTTTCATACATATATCATGTAAAGTGGCGTTATGTAAACTTACTAGAGCTACTTTAACGGGTGATCAGTCAGACCCTTTTCGATCGCGCGCTATTTTATTACATGCAAATGTAAAAGCGCTCTCGTTTTGAGTACGCGGTAATAAGAATTATAGAAAGAAGAAGGAGAATACGTCAAGTATTCTACGAGTCTGTTACCAAGATGTGCTAGAATCTGGTTATAATTCAGTCTCAACATCAAATTCTCTAAACTTCTCTATACTTCTCTATTCACGTAGCAGACAATTATTACTAGATAGTCGCCGCTCGTATAAATGAATCCACCCTTCTCAAGTGGTTTTACGGCTGATCGATGCTATTAGAACTGCTGCACACTTTTCCCGCGCTTTTTCATTACATGAATGAATAAATGAATAACTTTATTTAAACACGGTAGACTTATCAGGATTTTACATCAACATGATAAATCTATCTAACTAATAAAGATATAAAAGCTAATARTAAAAACAACCAAAACGTGCTTTTTAAGAGTGCCGTGTATTCAGGTTTAATGTGCTTGCCGTAACTCAGTTGGGAGGCTATTGATGGGTTGCAAGCATTACCAAGGGAGTTATAAGACAAAAACATGGCGGCCGTTGTGGTACCGTTAACAATGGATGCTAATGAGAAATCTTTCTCGTTAAATGGCACCATCATGGCCGCAATGACGTAACGTGCAAACGAAGAGTTCCAAAGAATCGCTCCACTATAGTTAAAACTATTTTTACGAACATTGGGGACGGTTTACAATTTTTGAGCAAAGGAAATCCGGAGTAAGCTAGACCATTAAGAGACTTATAGACTATAGCAGCCTTTTTGAATTTGGCGCTGGCAATCCAGCTTTTTCATTACCGTCATGATGTGAAGGGGCGTTATGTAAATTATAGAAATGAAGAAGAAGAATACTTTAAGTGTTGTACGAGCCTGTGACCATGAAGATGTGCTAGAATCTGCAGAGTTCAGTCTCAATATCGAATTTTAGATTTCTCTCTTTTTAATATATGCAGCCATAATTRAAAATTATTATGTTGAAGTTATGTTTATCTTAGATACAATGCGTCTCGAATGGTTGACTTCAAAGGTTCATTGCGTTCATTTAGCAATGTTTCGCTTCGGTTAGTTTTCGCGCCAAATAATATGCATTTCTAATTTACCACGATGCACCACTATATAAACTGACAACAGAGCAGACGCCTGTCAGTTGCTGGATTTGATCTCTTGACAGTGAGAATACATTCTCTTGTGTTGCATCGAACATTCAAAGGTAAGTCATGTACAACTTCATTAGCTAAGATAAAATGTTTTTTTTTCTATATAGATAGTTAATACTAGTAGTTATAATACGACATTAAATTTACTTCAGTAGAAAGGAGAAATTTTTTTTGAAACCATGACTGTTTTGGAACTAAATACAGTATCTATCGATCACATAAGTGTAAACAAACTTTTCCCGCCTTTTTTCATAACCTTTTTTTCATATGATCATCATGTGTGTATACATTTAAATTTCACAGTAAAAAGGAGCTGCATATTTAGTACTCAATAGATTCCTTCTCGTCTCGCTGTATATCGTTTGACAAATTTAAATACCTACTTAGTGACGAACGTTTAAAATAGTAAAAGYGCGCCAAACCGCTATCCATCACGCAAATCAGGAAGTTAGTTCCTTTAATAACATATGCAGAACTATTTGCGTTACCATTTCCTCCTGCAACATTGCCTGGAACACTAAATTACTTTTTCTAATTTAGGTGACTTTAGCTATTCAACAGGGAAGGMTCTGAAAGTTTGTTTGTAAACTAGAACCTTAGTAGAATCGAGACCAATTTCAATAATGAACTGAGAAAATATTACAGGATGCAGGGGATACCTCGCATGGTACTCACGTCCCTAGTCGCGTCCAACCCTTTTGGGTCGCTACTTGATTATTTCGGTTTTTGATTTTACTCCATTCTACTTGTTATGTCCTTGATTTTTCATTTGTTATGTTGATGTTGTTTTGTTTATTTTATTTATTTACTTGCTTGCTTGCTTGCTTGCTTGCTTGCTTGCTTGCTTGCTTGCTTGCTTGCTTGCTTGCTTGCTTGCTTGCTTGCTTGCTTGCTTGCTTCCTCAATCTCTCTATCTGTCTGTCTCTTGTATTGT